AACAAGAAAAGTCCAAGCTGGACCTTTATGGGCTTATAGTTTCATAACTCACAGCACAGGCATTTTTTAGAGAGTTAAAGGGGCTACTGAACACGTGTTAAAACTTAATCATTTAAGCAAATTTGGTTATGAAACAACATTCAGAGAGTGGTAAGCAAGGTTGACCCAATAGTAGTGAGCAGGTTATGCCCTGAAGCAAGGTGCCTGGTCCAGGCCTGAGTGGACTCTCCCCTGCCTGTCAAGGGTCAGTGTGAGCGCAGGATTGTGTCAGGCCTCTGGGTGGAAAAAATTCGTCATCATTCTTTGAAGTCCATCTTAGTAATATGCCATCCGTATTAATACTTTACATGACTGCTATAATGGCATCTACTTAAAGTCATGATGATGTCATTCAAGTTATAACTGTAATTGCCCCTGTCACAGGATCATTCTTTTGAAATACAGAAAGATACTCTGTCTAGTAGCCAGAAAAACAAAGAAAGGCCTCTTCTGAAGATTCTTGGTAGTGAGGCTTCATGACTTGATCCCTTGCCCCAATTTGGTTTAAGGTATTTTACAGAAAAAGTTTGCTGTTGCTAGACTACCAGCATCATTTGCACAGTCATGTCCTCGGATGAAGTTTATGACAGCCTCACTTGCAATCATGGATTAAATTCAGTTCATTAACTCACATGAGAAACCCATGCATTTCAAACATTTTCAAATGTTGAAATATGTGTCTTTTCAAGTTGTAAAACTGCATAAAAACCTAAAGCATTATTATTATTATTATTATTCCACTCCAATTACAAGTTCTTCTGAGGGTGAGAAAATAGCCTGGAGGGGAAGCGCTCATCCATTTCAGTGTTGCACCCTGCTCTGGCATTTGCAAGGAGCACTGCCAAGTGACTGCCCAGGAGACACATCGCGAGGAGCTTCAGGGAGGCCCCAAGCCGGCTGGCGGCAGAGTGTGAGGTCCTGTCCTCCAGGCAGTCAGCGTCCCCTCTCCTCTCCAGCAGGTCTACCTTTCCACACCCGCCCTCTCTGCTCCCTTTTTCCTGCTCATCCCTCCTCCAAACTCCCAATCTGAACCCATGTGTGTCGAAGACTCATTCTCTGGCTGCTGGCTGGACCCACCTTGGTCTTCCCTGCCTTTTGGAGCACTAAAGGAAACACACTGACAGCCAAGTGCCCTTGTTCATAAACCTTGTTCTCTTCATTTCATTCAACTTATCTCTGTATTTCATAAACTTCTTGAGGGGACATGGACTTAGACTCCTACATTTTGTATTTGTTAAGGCCTGCATCCTAGTAGAGTTGACAGGAGTCACCCCTGGCATAGGGAGCACCCTCTTCTAGAAGGGGGTCTTCCTATTCCCACAGGACCTGCCTTTGTTAGACATTCACTCCTCTTATCATCCCCAGTGGCCTTGGTCCTTGACAAAAAGGCAAGGATAAAGAGGGCCACTGAGGCAGAGCAGCACCATGATCTCAAGGGCCTCTTCAGCTGAACCTCTCCTATTAAGGCCCTCTAAGTGACACTGCCTCTTCCAATGACAGAGCCACTCATGACCTAAAAATAACCAGGGGGGTTGTTTACTCAGCTTAAAGTTAAGAAAAGTTTCCATTCCTCCACTGTCTCCACCTTCTGTTCTGTTTTCTTTTCTTGTATATTTGGTACACGGTCTCACTATGCAGCTTAGACTCAGAGTGATCCTCCTGTTTTCAACCTTCCCAGCACTGGAATTACAGGCATGTACCACCACGCCCAGTCCTGGTGGCCAGCCCTAGGTGCACCCAGGGGCAGGGCCAATGCGGCATGTGTTGCTGGGGACAGAACCCTGGTCCTTGCGCTTGCCTAAACAGGTGCTTAGTCTACTTGAACTATCTCACCGGCCCTTCTGCTCTATTTACTTTTGGAAAACAAAGATGATTTCCATATTTAGTAAAAGCACGCATTGTCTGGAAGCTCACAAGTTTCAGCTAGCATGGGATGTTGATGACAATGAAACACTGAGCCTACTACTCTTGACCCAGAACTTCAGAATCTGTGTATCTGATCACGGACAGCTGATCTTCCCTCAGGCCATTTTGTACAGGCTCCTCCAATCTCTGTACCATTTCTCTCATGTATTAAAATGCATTTGTTAACCCCTTATTAATTACATCAACTTTCTTCAAAGGTGCCTTCAGAACATGTGGGTCCATTTAAATAATGATTTTAAAAGTTCAGCTTTAAAAGTTTCCCAAATTACCTGGAGCCAATTATTTAGATTCCTACAGTTCCTTCTTTTCTGTCCTCCTTCCTTCCCTCCACTTTCTTTGTCCTCTTCTGCATCACTAAAAAGTAGCTTCACACGTGTGACTCGTGTAACTCAAGCTTGTGTGTTAAGGTGCTACAGACATTTTGATATATTGTTGGGTTAATGTAAATTGCTTAGACACTGAATCCCAAATTAAGATAAGCAAGACAGTGCTGGCGCCACTGAGGTGTACTCTATAAGTAGCCTAGAGGGAAGGCGGATTAAATAGCATTAACCTATTGAAAGTGAAAGTGTAAGCAATTTTGCTTCATAGTTTCCAAAGCAATGTGCCCATACATCATAGGAGGCTTTCAGTAATTCAGAGACAGGAAGCTGATTTCATATCTTAGAAACTTAATTTATGATAATTTTGCTAGCATCCATCCAAAACTCATAAATCCAAAATGTTTAAATGTTTACAGTATTTAAGAGGGAAGGTAGAGAAAAAGTCTGCTTCCTTCTAAAATTTAAGAGTTAAGGGGGAAAAAAGGAAGGATAATTAAGATAAAATGACTTTCAAATTATTTAGTTCTATCTATACTTAAGCTCGTGTGAGCAGAGGCTGGACTAGGAGTTCAGTTTTCTGACTTTCTGCCACCCAGATTTCATACTAAGACAGATGCACAGAGACCCACAACAAGCGCAGAGTTTTCTGCACGGTGACACCTTGTTAAATAAGTCACGTAATGTAAATCTAACCTTGGTGCTCTGTTCAACTGAAGCTATGCTTTCATTTTGCATTAAGAAGATACTTAAGCAGTAATTCAAAGATACAGCCAGGAAAAGAAGTGAATCCATACTGTTCTGGGAGGAAAGGACAGAGTGAAGGGTCCACCAAGAGTAGCCACCATCGCAAGATGTTGGCACATTTTCCATCAGCATCCCACGCAAAGGCAGGCTCCACTTCCAGCTGGTACCGTGCAATGCAGGGTAATGAGGTGTCAGATGTGTTTCCCCAGGACAGTAACCACAGAGCAGCCTGCTGCACCACAACATTTGCGACTTTTTCTCCCTTCGAAGTTCTCATTAAAAGCAACTGTGTTTTGCTTTTATATCCTTCAAGGATTGCCCTTTACTTTTCCTGGCTCCAACTACAATGCATGATCCCTGTGGATCATTTTAAATCTGTCCTTATAACTGCTTTCATATACATCCGCTCTATTCCCTATGCTGTAGTTACAATTATTTGTTCCCAGTTTAAATTCCATGTCTTTTAAGAACAAAATTCAAACCATTTTTGCCACTTAAGAAATCTTGAAAACTTTCTGTTCTATTTTTCCTCTCACTTCCCCCAGTACACATGTATTTCCTTTCTTTAATGTCTTGGTTGCTCCTGGCTCTACTTTTTTTTATGTCTTTCTTCACTCTTATAACTTGTTTGTTATGTACCAGGTGTCTTCCATTGCCTGCTTTATGTCCTCTTAACACTCATTCTTTCCACATGGAATAGTTATATATAAGGAATTTATTATCCAGAAAAAAAATTATACAAAAAATCAGAATGCTTTACTTACAGAAAAATCCAGATTATTGGTTTCCAGTTTTCAACTAGGGTGTTGTCACTTAAGCATGCCTCTCCCAATCTTGTCTGTGTTGCAAACTGCGCTTGACACATATTAATCAGTTTTCCCCTGGATTTCTAATGCTTAACAATACCTTGCCTTTATTGAGCCTCTGTATATTATGAATAGTCGATACTGTTCAGTACTCAGCTCTCACTGCTGCGGAGAACCTCATTTTGTTGAGGGCTGGGGTTGGGCTGCCGCCGGAGCTCTTTCTGTGACTGCCATCTAGTGGATCTTCTCTTTGCACTGACTTGGTGGAAGTATTTTTTAGAAATCATGCAGAAACAGAATCCAAGTAGTTAGAGATGACCAACCGGAAATGGGAAAAGCTTTCTTTCATACTGTTCACCTAATCCTGTTTCGTAGTATCTAAGGATTAATAACCACCATAAGACTTGACCTGGAAGTAAGACCCTCACGACGTCTAGTTGGGAATTGAAAAACTGCATCTCTGTACCGCTTCCTACGGGGCCAGGAGGGGATGTACGCCAGGAGCTCCTTGCATCCCGCGCGCCGCCTCCTCCTGTCCTCAGGAAGAGTAGGGTTAGGCATCCTGGCCCCTGTTCTGCGTTCTCAGCGCGTTGGGTGTCTGGCCAGAGACAGAGATGCAGCCCCGGTACCTGCGGAGCTCAGCTCCTGCTCAGAGCTGAAGCTGCTAGCAACATTAGCATATTTTGAATTATGCATAGTGGTGCAAAGCGAGGGAGAAAGTTCTATTGAGACAGGGGACCACCACATCTCTGGATCCAACCAAGCTCCCAGGGACCTTTGAGGCTGGAAGAAAAGTTGCACATGACGCTGTAATCAAAAGCAGCTTCAAGATTCCCACAAATCCAATACCTCTTTTTTTCCTTTACAAATTTACTCTGCAAGCTGAACATTTTTCTTATTTGTGGCAGGTTTGGGTCCGTGAGAAGTCCTCAGTCCCCCGCACAGCTTTAAGCAGATAGTAGTGGCATTTAGTAAATGTTGGTTGAATGAATGAATTTGGCAGACAGGGAAGTTAAATGCTGCTCTCAGCAAATAAGCACGTCCTGGGGCCATCAGCTTGACCTAAGCTGGGGCTTTTCGCATCTGTGTTGCACAGTTTGTCCTATTTTATCAAGTGATAACTTTGAAATCTGACACCTTATTTTCAATTCTACTTTTGCAGGTCTATACCAAAACCCTTTGTGCCAGTATAACTTGTACCGTTTGTATATAATCTACCACCTTCCGGGAGTACAGCTACTTGACAGAAATCGTAAGGACATCTCTTTGATGCAGAGAAATATCGGGAAAGCAGCCTCACAACTCATTAGCTCAATAATGCAGCACGCCATTGAAAATGTGTCTTTGTAAATGAATACTGTTACATAATTGTCTCTGAAATGAAAGGTTTTTAATTATCTTTTAGGTATTTGAATCCTGTAATGTGACTTAGTTTAGGAATGCGTATTTCTATCTCAGTTTACTAGAAAGGCCGCGTACCTGGGTGTGAGGAAGCCTTTCCTTCTGGTCCTGCTTTGGACTTCAGCATCTCAGATGCCAACTCATTTATCCTCTGGCACCTTAGTTTTTAATCTCAAAAATGAGCGAATTGGACTAAGTCTCTGAGGGCCTATGCAAATTCTAATTTATCCTCTTTGAAACTCTGTGCATTTTTATTATTTTAATTAACCTACTAGGTGATAACTTTTTATAATACTAGAGATTTTTTCCTACATGAGAGATAAACTAGCATGTTGAGTTTTCATGAGCCACATGCATACAATCAACGTCCGTGCATCACACTGTGCATTTTGAAGATCTATTTTGGCTCCAAATTTGAACATTCTTGTGTCTGTCTGTCTGGTTGGTGATACTGGATATTGAACTCAGGGCCTCACTGCCGCTAAGCATCTCGTCTGACACTGAGCAACAGCCACAGCCCTTGAATGTTCTTATTGCTGAGCTACTTTTTCTACGAGACATATCAAAGCCTGGTAGCAGTGTCTCCTTTCCTCATTGGCCCTCAGGAAACACAAGGATGTGTCATGATGGGCGCCACTCATCTCTGGGATCTGTTAGAATGTGCTCAGGATGCACTAGGCGTCAGGACTGAGCTCAGCTTTGTAATGCAAGGAATTAGGCTTGAAAGATTATGGAAATGATGGTGCCCGCCCTGTTACACAATGGAAGTAGCAAGGTATTCACATAATCTACCTTATTTAAATACATTTTTATTTTTATTATTTTTTTTGTTTTATTTTAGCTTAGTTTTGTTTGTTTTGTGGCAGGAATTGAACTCAGGGCCTTGAGCTTGCCAGGCAGGCACTTGAGCCACCGAGCTATATCCTCTGTCCTTAAATACATTTTTAAAGCCTTCAATTCTATTTTGAGTCACTGTGTATATGTATTTGAAATCTAATACTTGGCGCTAATAATGCTTTTTGTATTTATTAGGAGTTACAGAAAAAGAAAGAAGATCAATGATTACCATTTTTAACCACAGAAAGGCTCATATCATTCAGTCAATTGCATTCGGAGGAAAAGTAGATGCTTCGTGGAATTCTAAATTACCATTAAAGCAGAAACCCGCCCAGAGGCTTCCTCCAGGTATTTCGCAAAAAACCAGAAGAAAAAAATGAAAGTTCCTTAAGATTTTGGAAAATTTGTTTATAAGTGTAATTTAAAATGAGCTAAGTACCTAGAGAGTGAAATAATATGTGACTACTTTGGATTAGTCACTTTCTATTATGGAGACAAAATACTCCACTTCAAGGACAGGAGAGGCTTACTGTGGCTCGTGGCTTCAGCGGGTCCAACCCATGGTCAGTGGGCTCCAAGGCGGAAGCGAGAACAGTCGCTGTGGAAGGACACTGCCGATGCAATGGCAGCCAAGCAGCAGAGGGAAGATGGAAGTGGCCGAGGCCAGGACCCCACCCTCGCAGGCTGTGCCCCGGCGCCCACCCCCACCGGTCCTCCCTCCGATCAACATTCAGCTCTGAATTCATTACTTGACTCACTGATGATTATAGTGCCTCATGATCAAATTCTCTTTCTAAGGTCCCATCTCTGAACACATGGGACTTGGGAGACATTTCAGATCTAAAGGGTCTATTTTCTAATTTCCTTAATTTAGACTTTTATGACTTAAAGTAAATATGCATTTTCATATTTGGACATGTGGAGGTAATACAATAATCTGACAATACATTGGATCCTCTTCCCCACTATCCGACACAATAGAAAGGCATCAAGAAATGAGCTATTGGACTGGCCAGATAGTTCAGCAGACTAAAGCGCCTGCTTAGACAGGCACACGGACCGGGGTTCGATGCCCGACGTGCCATGCCAGCCCCACCTCCTAGGTATGTTGAGATGGGTGATTGAGACTGGGTGTGGTGGTGCGCACCTGTAATCCCAGCACTTGGCAGACTGAAAACAGGAGGATCATCACTACGAGTCTGTGCAGTGAGACCCTGTAGACCCTGTATAAAAATACATTAAGCAAAAAAAAAAAAAAGAAGCTATTATTACTAATAACACAAGACAGTTACACCAACTAAGGCTAATGATGATACAAAGAAACAAATAAAGATGATTTGCAATTTCACCACCCAGCACTTTTAACATTTTGGTTGCACTCATACGCAAGATCATTATATGCAAATATAACAAATATTTTCATTACTGTTTCATTAGTTGGAATTTAATTTCTTTTATGTAATAGACTCAATCCAGGGATATTTTTTAGAGTTAGGGTATATAAGGTTAATATAAGCTAGTATGACATTATCAGTGTTCAGGAACACATCTTTCTATTTTGCTTAATGTGCTTTATAGTTCTGAGTGGCTGCTAAACCACCACACAGCACAGATCCATGCAGGAAAGAAGAGGGAAGGGAAAAAATGGTGCAATAAATGTAATTATTTTCCTCATAACATTTTGCCAGGTGGACAACATATATTTAAAAGAATGAAATAAATTTTCTAGAAATAAAGGAGAAAATATTAAATTGGAAAAAAATATTGAGAAAATTATCCAGCGAGAAATACACAGAAGATAATAATTAGATGTTGAGATAAGGAGATATTAGAAACAAAAAGAGCAAATAGAAGTTCAGTAATAATTCCTGAAGAAAAAGTTATGAAAGAAACTGAGCAGAATGCAATGGTGGAAGTAATAATGTCTGCATATTTCCCTAAAGCTGACAAATGAATCCCCAGGTCGGTAAGACAGAACGAACTCAAGACATATAAGACACAAAACCTAAAAGTAAAAACATAAGCTTTATGCTGAACACAAAGCAATTTTAAATCAATCAGGAAAATCCAGATTATCAACAGAAGGATAACGGAGTCACAAGAAACTCCCCAGCTGCAATGATGGAGGCCAGAAGACAGTGACCTAATGCCTTGAAAATGCTGAGAGAAAGGGTCCGCCAAGAACTGGAGAGCCCACTGAATCATTACCCTACACGAGCAAGAGCAGGAAAGAAGAATGAGAACAAAACTCAAGTCTTCCGCCCCAACTTTCTATCATGAAAAGGTTCTAACAGAAAAAGGGGAAAGAGTATCAGTTGCTTGGATCTGCCTCTGCTCATCCACAAGTAGGCCACCACATTCAGCAGCCGCCCCAGAGGAGCTCTCCATCTTTGTCCACATTGGACTGGCCTCAGAAATTTCTCCTCACATCTCTCAGGTCCTCCAGTGACAGAGATGGCGGAACTGGAAACCATCCGTGCTGCTGACCCTGAAGTGTTTCACAAACAGTCACACGCTTCACTCTCCAGTAGTGAAACACTCGACTTTGTGCAAGCCCAGCTTGGGTTTCTCACAGTGCCAAAGGAGGAAATTAGGAGAGTTCTTATTGGTGATAAGGAGAAAAAAAGGCACCTGATTTCTCCAGGAGGAGAATCTCAAAAGTGGAATTTCCACATGTCCCCTTGGTCCAGAACATACTATACATAAGTAGAGCATGGGAATTGCTCAAATGTTTAGAGGTCACAAAGCACAGGCAGCCTCTGCATTTGAAAATCTCTTAAAGTACATTTAAATTCTTAAGTTAGTATAAACTAACTTTTTAGTTATCTACCTTAATCCAATTATGAAATATTAAGTGACACATGCCAGGCTTGGTGGCACATGCCTATAATCCCAGCACTTGGAAGCTGAGGCAGGATAATTGCCATGAGTTACAAGCCAGCTTGGGCCACATACTCAATTCGAGGATAGCCTGGAATAGACAACAAGACTTTATAATAAAATAAGTAGATCCTTCTCCCCCGCCAAAAAAAAAATTATATGTATATATATATATATATATATATATATATATGACATAAAGAAATGCTTACCTAAATTTGCTACCTTTTAATAGCATATCATTTAAGAAAAATGTACTTGTATATAGAGGTACTTCAAAGGTTATTAATGCTGGTCTTTAATTAGTAGAGTGACATTGCCTGGGTTGCATATTTTTAGGCATCATTAACTATATTAACACAGTTACATATCAATCATACAAGCATGAGTCTGAAAACTTCACCACCATCAACAACTTGAGTGTGAAGGTCATTGGAGTGATGATATGTTTCCCAAAGTTTGGCATTCTTGAATGCCTATACACTTAGGAAATGCAAATGTACTTAGTATACCAGGAGGTAAGCAATGACTAGCATTACAACTACGTAGAAATCCTGGTACACACTGCGTATATCTAAGACTCCTTTAATGGGTTACAGGGTGTTGCTGCACTGACAAAAATTAAAGGACATCTTTAGACCTTTTACAAATTTAGGAAACAGTGTTACTGGTCACAGATGGACTTACAACCCAATATTAAAGTGTGAAGTATTTATGAAGTATCAGAATGTTTAGTCAAAGTCAGTGGACATAGATCAAGTTTTACACTCAGTCTTAGCCAAAGGGCTGAGAAGTGACAGGTCCAATTTTAAATGTTAGAACCAAATTTACAAAGATGCCAAAAATTTTGATCACTTTGTGCCTAAGGCATAGATGTATACTGTATTAAAAGAAAGTACCTATTAGTTACTTTTTATGCATTAAACTTACGCACTCAACTCTATAAGCTTAACTTTAAAACTTACAATCACAGAATATCTTCTTTTTGTATATATTCCCAGACATATAGTTATCTCACAAACTAAGATAATAATTGTTTATCTAACCCATCATAAATTGATTATGGAAAAGTTTCCAACATTTAAATAATTTTGACTCTTACTCAAGCACTCAGGCTTTAGTAACCCAAAACCTATTAATAGAAAACACAAAAGATTTGTAAAATATAGAACCCTTACTTTTCAATCTAGTTTTTAAGTTCAGCCAAGAACATTTTAACACATTCACGATAGGGCTGTTATCTGTGTCTTGAGTGGCTCTAATTTGAATTCCATTGTCTGATGCTAAATAACCACCTGTGATACAAGGTGCCTGATGGGACAGTCCTGCACGTATGACCAGTACATGTGGGAACATGCTAATAACTGAAGAACACCTTATTGCTTTTGACATGGAAAACTTGGCTTTTTGATTATAGCATACACACACACACACACACACACACACACACACACACACATTAACATTAATATTTCGCAGGGGTAGGCCACAGTAGTAAGCCTCTGAGAAGAAATGAAAGAAGTCACCCATTGGTAGGAAAAACTGAACAAATCAACTTAGGCAGCTGCTTCTTAAACCACAGAGGAGAGTTGTGTCCAGTAGTTCCACAAGTCCAAGGGATCCCCAATTATTTATCTTAACAGTTACTTTAGATGATTCATGAGATCAAAATATGGCAATTAATGCTTTTAAGCTATACATATTATCTTTAGCCAAGGAAAATTTTTAATGTACACAGACAATACACATTGCATTTAAAAAACCTCTTATTAACATATTAGCTTGATTGGATAACAATCTGTATAGAAGTATGCCAACAACTTTAAAGATACCTTTACTTTTTTTTTTTTTTTGTATTTTTAGGGAAGGGCCTACAGGGTGTTCAGGGTCTCACTACTAGATCGGATTCATAGTGATCCGCCTGTTTACAGCCTCCCAAGAGCTGGGATTACAGGCATGTGCCACCATGCCCAGTCTAAAATACCTTTACTTTTACCAATGAATTTAATTATTCAGGTGTTAAGCCGCATAAACAATGAACATTTGGGTTGAATCCTGTGGGCCTATTTATCTGTATGCCAGCTTATGTAGCATTCTTGGAGGATAATATATACCTGAAAGCTAATACTCAGAAACATACACATTAGCCTAGTCACACATAACCTGTGTTATCATACTTTACTGTCATCATCTATAAGCCTCATGGAAGTCTATAGATTACCAGCTTTTGTACCCTCTAATTTTGTGAGTGGATCTGGCTTCCCTGAAAACCTATACAACCAGTTCTGGGGGAAAGCCTCAAAACTAAAAGGGAAAGATGAAATTAATAATAAGCTAAAAAAAACTTTAATGAAGCAGCTGCAGGTACCGTAACTACTTATTAAACCAATTTAATAGGTAGACATGCCAGCGAGAAACATAGACCACACAAAACAATTACTTATAAATCAGACTGCACTCTTAGATGTATTGGCCAAGTTAAACTACAATAATCCTTTATAGTTGGGGTTTAGTAACTAGACTGGTCAGAACTTTCCTGAGCATACTGTAGCATTTTCTAGGTGAATTCTCAGAGAGGTCTCTTGTAATAAGTTAACATCAAGGCTGGTGGGAACCATAAGGGGGAGGCAGTACTCCTCTACATCCTTGAAGGCAAGGGTGTAAGAAGGGACTTGGGCTTATGGCCTACCTTAATCTTTGGTATAGTGGCTACCACCATGTAGCTCAGCAGGGAGTCAGATCAGTCACTACTGTAAATTCCTCTTTGACAGTCACAGCTTTTTCTTATGTCAATGTTCTCTCTATACCGTTAAAGGCATAGCGTTATACTTTATATATGTTTGTTTGGCAACCATTTTTTCATCTCCCTGGAGTCCTCAGGCCAGGTATGGCTGTGGAAAACACCCAGTGCCTGGAGTTCAAAGAAGCTCTTAAATATGTATTCCACATCGGTCTTTCTAGTACAGATAAGCAGCAGGGGAGAGAAGGTGTCCCAGCCACTACGTGGCTCTGTCTTTCCCTAAGCCTGGTCCTGCCCAGTGGCAGCAGCAGGGAGATGGAGGCAATCAAGAACGAGACCAGGTGGAACTGCTGCTCTAACTGTGCCTGCATTCCATTTTATCACATTCCCTGGATTCACACTGGCTACAGGCTTCTCTTTTCTCAGCCCTCAGTGTTTCTCTGGGTATAAAACTTGGTTGCTGGCCTCATGACATGTTCTGGAGAGAAAATGTGGCAAGAGAGATACAATTCTTGGCTCTCCTAATACCTGTTTTGTCTAAAACTGCCATCAAACTCATAAGGACCCCTAAGGCTGCTTTCTGTTCTATGTACAGTCATCTGTGCTTTGATGGTCCTGTCTTAAAATCTAGCCAGCCCACCCCACCCAAGCGCATTCCTGGGCAGCGGGGAGAAGAGTGCAGATATTTCCAGCTCCCGGCCCTCTTCCAAGGCAGAAAGACACACAAATTGGCACTAAAACTTTCTCATTCTTTTTTTTTTTTTTTTTTGAGTGTTTGAAGATTAAATCTAGACCAGATTTTAAATGAGGCCCAGGAGTAAGTCAGAGGAAATAGGAAATGCAAAACATGGGTTGGGTGGCAATGTTTCATCCACCCACACGAAGTCATGCAGGGTGACAAACTCTCACCCCTGGGGACAGGAGATGCACACTTCCTTTGAAACATCCTCCAGAGTGGTTCTCTAACTCGTGAAAGCAAAGGTCAGCTTCATTCTAGAGTCATGCAACAGCTAGCAAGGGATAGGTCTGGACCAAGCACTGAATGGTCACAGGGAGGAGGATACTGGTCATCCCAGAGAAATGGAAAGCCAGGTCACTAGGGTCCTGGAACCCAGCAGCCACAGGGAAGGGAGCCACAGGGAAGATTCAGCTCGGAGGAGGTGCTGATGCCAATTGTGTTATTTCTTGGTGGAAGGGCGGAGGAGAATGGAAGGCGTCAAAACTTCACCAATGGGGGAGAAACGGAAGGCAATCCAGTAAAAACAAAGCAAACAAACCCAGCATAAACCTCTGAAGGTAATCATGGTGGAATGGAGAAAAGAAGGAGAAAAGATAAATGCTTCCATTTCTTACCTCTTTTGAATCTTGTTTCACTGAATTTAAAGCCCAGACAAACTGCCAATGAAACACATAAATAATAAAAGAAAACATATATATATATATATATATATATATATATATATATATACAATTTTGCATAAACCCAGGTTTTTTGTCTACAAAAACTTTTTAATCTTTTGTTTATTTATTTATTTCTTTGGTACAGGGTCTCACTACACAGCTCAGACTCATGGTGATCCTCCTGTCTCAGCCTCCACGGTGCCGAGACTACAGATGTGTGCCACGATACTCCCAGGGTTCTGGGAGCAGCACAGTATGTGGTACAAGGGATCGAATCTGGGTCCTTGCACTTGCCAGGCAGGCACTTAAACCACTGAGCTATCTCCCCAGCTCTGTCTACCAAAATTGAAGAATAAATTTCAGGGCTAAGGGAGGGGCTTAGAAGAGTATGTATAAGAAATAAGAAGAAAAAGCTCTTGGTATATACCCGCCACAAAGGGAAGAAGTCCAACGTACTCTTTTGCGTTTTGTTTTATTTTAGCCTTATATAGATAGACAGAGCATGGGTATCTGCTTACAGATGAGTTCAAGGGCTCAGAGAGAACCTGGTTATCTTGCATTTCTAATGTTTTCTCTGGCATGATGTACAGAGGTGCTGTGGACTAATTTAGCATACCTCTTCCTTGGGCACAAAGGTTCTTGCCATATATATATATATATATATATATATTGAAATGGGTTTGTTTTTGTTTGTTTGTTTTTTTGGTGGAACCAGGGATTGAACTCAGGCCTTTGTGCTTGCCAGGGAAGCGCTTATTCTACTGAGCCATCTTCCCAGGCCCCTCATTATATTTTTTAGCTGCCTTCTTATGTTCATCATTGTGTGTCTGTTTGGTTTAGCTACTTGGATTAGCTCTGAATTTAAGTGGGCTATTCTATTTTTTTTTAATCTGGCTCTATTCTTCGATCTCTTGACTGCCTATACATAACTAAGCTACTAATCCATAAAAAGACAAATGGACTACTTGCAATGAAACATGAATAAATTTTTAAAATCTTTACCAGCAGCCTCAGAGTGAGAATCCTAGATTTCCATTACATTGGCTCTTCCCTCCAAACAAGACTGAGCTGTCAGTACTGTGCCCTTTGGAGGCGCAGTGTCACAGAGATGAGCCCAGGAGGCCAAGGCTCAGCTGCTCACCAAAATGGAAAATAAGGTTGACAACTCAACCAATGGCCATTCACCGCAGAGGATCAGCATAACCCTGCGAAGGACACAATGAAGAGAAAATTTAAGTTATAAACTGGTGGATCAAAAGTTCAGGAAGCCACATCTTGAAATCTCTGAGAGAGTTAAAAGTTACACATGAAGCTTAGCTGCTTGGATTAGCTCTGAAATCTCTGACTGTAGCTTTAACACGAAGCTCACCCAGAAAAGTGAGTGCCGAGTACAGTGCTGCATATGCAGGAATCCTGAGGCCAGTGGGCGGTCTGGAGATTGGGTGGCACAGAGCTGTAGAACTGGGAGGGTTGTGCAGACTCCAAAGAGTTCGTGGTGGCAAAATGGACAGTAAATAGAGCGATCATGTTGTAGAACTATCCAGGACTTTGAGATTTGTATTATATTAATGAATCTGTCCCAAATCCCAAGGCAAAACTCACCATAACTAAGAGAAAATTTCAGAGTTGGTTAAGTATTAAGGCATTTTTTTTCTAAATTGCTTGAAAACCAATTATAGCATTGTTCCATTGTTTTTAAATGCAGAATAATCATTTGAAAAATACTAATTTAGAATTTTTTTGTTTTAGATTTTGCATTTGCAGATAATGTAGACAAGTAAGTGTTTTTAGAAATCTTTACTTTTATTAGATTATTTCATAACTGCTTTAATCCTTAAATTATTACTGCTTTCTAAAACAGATTTTAATTACAAAATGACTAGCTCTTCAACAAATGAGAAAACAGCTATGTTTCCATTATGAATGAATTCCAACTATTTATTTATTACATTTGATATCTTCAAGGTTTTCATATGATAATTATGATTTAAAATAAATGACAAGGTGATTTAATGCATATAGAAACTTAATAATTATTAGCAGTTCCAAACAAGGGACTTTGTTTACTTTTCCTCTAAATATATTCAGTGAGTGCAATTATTATGTAGATTAGTATTTTAGATTCACTAAAATTTGCATTTCAGAAGCAAACACTTCATTAACTATGAGGGTACATCAAAATCATGAATACTGATTAAGTTGAAAATCATTTTAGTAGTTGAATTTTTCAACGTTCTTTGATTTACCATTGAAAAATATTATCATGCAAATTTATAAAATATAACATAAACAATAACTTGGTAATATACTAATTATATTAATATACATGATAGAAAAAATGATTTTAGTCATCTCATTTAACATCATTTCCAAAAGTATATGTGTGTAAGACCAAAACTATAACAGATCCCCAAATATATCGATACTCTGTTTTAGACATAAACCATATATACAATAGTCACTTAGCCCAAAAGTCTTTTGTCAGTAGAGCCTATAAATTATTTGATAGTGATGCTATACTACAAACAACACAGGGAATACAGCATTTATTTAAATAAAATTTGAGGTTGGTCAAATTGATTTTCTTTCCTGACATAACTGCTACCCCCGCAGAACTGTATTCGATGACCCTGAGGATGCTGTTTTTGTGAGGTCCTTGAAGAGATCAGTGATGACCATGACCTCCATGAACTGGGACACAGTTCCCACTCGAGAGGAGAAATACCTTCAGGACAAAGGCACAGAAACTGCTGAAATGCTCACAGTTACACTGAGATAAGCCCCTGGCATCTCCACAAATCCTAGTGGCATTCAGTTGTACATTAAACTTCCCTGTGACTTAGCATATTATGTATTTTGCTATGGTTTGAATCTTTTAAACATACTTAGAAACATCAATAATGAAAAAAAACTCCTATAGTGTAGGCTTTATAAGGTTTTTGTTGAAGTTAACATGTACATAACAATGTATGAAGGTAGTAAGTGTTCAATCTAAGGAATTTTCAAAAGACGAATAGGGTCATTTGTTCCTGAAAAGGGTACCTCTGACCAAGAAATAGAACATTAGAGCACTCATTCCTGTTACTGGTGACAGCTCTTCCAAAATAATCACTGTGAGGATTCTCGGGAATAAGTTAATCATGTCTAATGGTGAAAGGCATATGCGTGGAATCAGTGAATAAATGAACATTTTATGTCTGCTTTGTTTCTCTCGTCATTAGAAGACTTATCCATGTTCTTGCTAGGAGCAAGGATTCTGTCATTCTCAGGGCTGTATAGTAGTCTACCACAATTTATATTTACCCAGAGTCTTGATTTTCATTGCTTCTGGAGTCATTTTTCAGTTCTGGGCTTGGGCCAGTGATCTGCACATGGCCTACCCAGACACGGGATGCCAAAGGATAAAGGAAGCCAGATGAGCTGCTGACAAGCACCTGAGGGAAAAACTTAAGACATTAAGGTGATTCATATGTCCTGCTGGTTGCCCCCAATTAAGGGCCGGATTGAACTCTCACGCCAGGCAGAGTGACATTTCTGTCTATCCCATCTGTGCTCTGGAGCACAGACACACTATACATTGGGATGACATCAAAATAGGCAAGAGATGAAAGCTTAGAAAGCATAATTCATCAGCAAGAATCAGCGGAAGCCTTGCACCTGTGGGTATTTAGGATTCCGAGCATGACCAGTCTATGAATTTATGTGAGTGACTGTGTAAGAGGTGAGGAAAGGAATCACCACCTTCCCTTCCTCTGCATCCTGGGTCACTAACTGCCACGTAGTTGTGACACTCACATAATCCCAGGAATAGAGGTCCCTATTCTGGGGCACTGAAGCCTCAGACTTTGTGTCAAATGCCAGTTAAATTTCAGAAGACTGAAACCCTGGGTGAAAGCTTCCCTCTACTCTCAGGCCAAATGAACCCCATAGCACAGCAACCAGCTGAAGCTGCTCCTCAACTTGTGGGCTGCAGAAACTGTGAGGAGCACTGATTTTCATTATGAATTTTGAGGAAGATTTGCTACATAACAACAGACAAGTGACACACAACTCAGACTGATCGATGGTGTTTTATGGAATCTCTTGCAAGCTCAACAAGGAGAGTCAGGGCACTGTTTCCCAGGGCTCCTGAGCAAGACCACACCACCTGGGGCAGAGAACTTGTCACTGTTTAAGCAGCAGTTCTAGACACGCTACTGCACCGATCCTACTGAGGACAGCCAACTACTGGCCAGGTAACTGACCAGCAACTTACCATGAGCTGAGTGCCAGCCCGGGGACATCAGTCACACCGGGCGGCCACAATCCCCTTGATGAGGAAAAGGCATCTTTGGGATCAGAGTTAAGCTAGCCCATGAATTGCAAGCAGTATATTGTAATTAGACTAATGAGTTAAGGATGAGATTTTATAATCTCAAGGTTACCTACTAAAAGAAAAAAATGTGTAGTCGTTATTTTGTGTTTATTCACACAGTCACTAAAATGAATGAAAAATTTGCTTTAATTTGGAAAAAAGTCAAAGATTATATTTATTCTTCACTTTAGAGAACAGAACCATGCTCCACTTACATGCCTTACAGCGCATTCTTCAGTACTGGATGTTTTTATTCAATAATGAACAACTGATTATGACTAGGAAAACACTAAATCCCATTTCAGGGGACACACAAACTAGAAGATACAACCCAAAAGTTACCTAAAACTCTTCCAAAATGTAACAAACTATTTAAATGAGAGGGCATTCTTTTTTTTATTTATTTTTGCGAAGCCAGGGATTGAACTCAGGCCCTTGCACTTGCCAGGCAAGCACCTATTCAAATGAGCTATTTCCCCGGCCCGGAGAGGGCATTCTTAACTAGGTTCTTTGCTTTAATTGACACACACTCAAAGTGGCTGAAGTGAAGGTTTATTTTAGGACCCACTGCTAGGTCTCATGACTAGAAAACAGAATCCTCATATACAGAGGATTCTGGCTAAAATCTGGGCTTCTAGAATCTGACACACCTAGCTTCTTATTACTTACTTTTTACTACTGTTGTTATTTGAAAAAGTTCACCACTCTGGGCTTCAGTTTCCTCTTGTCCAATATTAGCAGAGACTGCACAAGTCTGAGATTGAGATAATGCACATAAAGTGCAAGGTACAGCGGCCTTCTCAAAGTATTCAATATATGTTAGCTATTGCATCTATTGTATCCTAAGGTGTCTATACCCTTTAGAGACTGAACTTACATGGACTAAATGTCAGTGTGCCCTCCAACTTAATATACTAATATCTAATTCCCATGAAGGATCCTTGGGAGGTAGCCGGGTCATGAATGTAGAACCCTCAGTCCATTTTAAAGGGCCAGAGAGTAGATGGATCTTTTGTAATGTGAGGCTACAATCAGACGTCTCCCTTGACTTGGGAAGAGCTCTCTTACCAGGACCGCGATCCTGCTGGCATCCTGACCTTGGACTTTGGCTTCTACTACTGAGAAGAATTTCTTGAGGATACCTCCTAGTGTATGATCACTTTTAATAGTAAATCAAGCTAAGATGCCTGATGTATTAGCATAATTAGGAAAATACCACACATAGATGCAGCCATGCAAATGTAGATTTATTTTTAGGGCACTAGCCCTGTCACTGTGTGGGCTGGTGAGCTCCGTTTCTGGGCAGGCTACATTCTCTCATCTTCCTGATTCTTCCTTACATGCATACATCGACTTTCTCTACAAACCCTGTCTCCCCATGAGAAAATTCAGTGTCAGGAGTAGGCTGAGAAATTCTGTGGGTGATTTCGTTTGAACTCATCATTATGCCAAGACTCCCTTGGCAAAATAAATGTATGCATCAAAGACGTTTGTCTTCTATATAGACAAACATTCACCTTCTGGAATTATTCGTCTTCCCGGGCCTCTCTTCCATCCACACAGCTTTTACTTACGTTCTCTGACCCGTAATGACTGTGTCTGTGTGCGTGTGCACGGCCGTCATGATTCTCCCTTGGCTCATCTCATTCTTTGCCACACAAGGAGCTGGGCTCTGGTAGACTAGCCAGGGACCCTGGGCTCTGGATGATGGTACTTGGAGAGTTCTCTGGGTATTCTTTTTTGCCTTATTTATTCCAGCTTTGGAGACAGAGTAGCCTGCAATATGGAAAAGCCAGGATCTACGGACAAGCCTGCCAGTCTGCTAGCCCCCCGTGGACTGCACCCTCAGGGCTGCACCACCAGCTACCACCTGATCAGCACCACGAGGTGAGAGTGACAGTCACTTGGATCTGCAACTGGAGATATTAAAATAATGTTTACATTTTTCTCCATTATTTTCTACGTTTCCCTTTATTGATTATATTTTCTTATATGTGCCACCTCTTAACAAATTACGGAACAAGATGAGTCGTTTATAGGAGTAGATGTGACATTTAAAAATCAATACAAGAAACACTGAAAGCACAATCTTCAGACATCACACTCAATCTGTTTAAATATCACATAGGATAAAAACAGGGCTGAACGTTCTCTAGATGACAGTTACAAACCACAGTTGCTGGACAGGGAGAGTTCCATAAAAAGCTTACAGGAAGATAAAACCCTTTCAAATATAGTATGGCACATGGTCTCATAAGAAATATATATATATATATATATATATATATATATATAATATATGTATATATTCATCAAAACTGTGCAGGAATGTCCTAACACTCATGCTCAGCCCTAGCGATAGCACACCTTTGTTCCTTCCAAGGAAACTCACATTTCTGAAGGTACAACTGCTGCAGAGAACTTCACAGCAGCAACTATACATACAGCACTCAGACTACTCAGGACAATTTCTATATAAAACTATACCTGTGGAACAATGGTGAAGATTTTATTCAACATACAGCTTTTCTTCAATTCATTAAATCTCAGTAAGTGAAACTTCGCCATTATAAGTGCTATCACATGTATTTTAATCACATATAGGTATGATTTTTTTAACTACTTATTTCTGTGGTCATAGAAAATCTCTTTCACACCTTTTCTGCTTGTCCCTTTGTTCCCTTGAGTCTGTACTTCTTTCTTTCGCAGGATTTTTTCCTTCGAGAACAACTGTTGGGGAAGCAGCCTAAGAAAGGGAATAGAAATGTTTTTCCTGCATTTTGTAAGAAAGCGTGTGTGTATAGAAATGCTTGTGCAGTCACAGAACAGAACTCAGCAGATGAGGGCACGGCAGATGGCGCCCTGCGTGAAAGCCTGTTCCGTGAAACGTGCAGTCCCACCGCGCGCCAGGCAGGTGTAGCGAGGCAGGGAGAGTCCCGAGAGCCTGCCAGGGCGAGGACTGTCCCTGGTCCCTGCAAGTGCCCGCTGTGGCTTCTACTCCTCAGCGGCCTGTGGGCCTGCAGGGGTCTCCGGTGCACTTCCCAGCGCAGCCTCACTTCCCAAAGGCTCTTTCTCGCCTTCCACACAACCTTGGGCACTGCAGGCCTCCTGGGTGACACCTACTTCAGCCCCTGGTTGCTCTTCATAAGCACGACTAGCACTGACATCCAATTTGCCATCTGCTAAAAAGGAAAAAAACACAGGTATTTTATCCTGCCAATGTGCCAGACACTGTTACGTCTCCTATGCTTTAACTCATTCAAATGCCATTACGTAAGACAGATTATTACCATTCCTGTTTTACCAACAGGCAAATGTAGGATCGCTTGCTCCAAGCTTTACATCTTGGGAAACAGTGAATCAGCCCTGAACCCAGGACACACTCAGGCTTCACTCCAATGCCAGGCCTCTACATCAAGACCACCATCTGGGATGTGAAAAACTTTGCTTGAAGACCTGGTGGCCCTGAGAAGGACACGGCCTGTGCTGTCTCCTCACCTATGTCTTCTATAAAATGGCATCATTTATAGTACCAGAGCCTGTCCTATGTTTTGAAGAAAGGAAAGGGTGTTTGTAATGTTCAGGACAGCGTGTGATCCATGGCTGATGTGCCATGCGGACTCTCCATCCCAACAGTCTTACTCCTTTTTTCAGGACGGTGTGTTATGGTACAAGCAGCTGCCATTCTGTCCTGAGCACAGGTCAAAAGGCTTTAGTTCCGAAAACAGGAGAAGGCATAACAGCCAGAAAGCCCGATGACTCTCTTAATGAGGAACAGTTTAATTGGTCCAAATCATTCAACCACACCATGGGTGAATTCTCAACCAAGCTGTAAAGGAGGCAGGATCCCCAGAAGAGGGCAGGCGGAAGGGCTTTGGATCATCTGCTCTGTAATTTCTTCAACTCAGACACATTCTTCAAGAGCCCCAGGCACAACTGCTGGGGGGGGGCGGCTCTCTTCCCCAAGGTGAGAATCACCGCTGGAGCTCCTCACCGCTCCCTCCTGGAGAAGGAAGTCACCTAAGCCCACGGGGTCTCCCCACTCTGACATTTGTAGGGCTTGACTCTCTACTTCAGATCTGCAGTTTCATCTGCAACTCATAAATATGCTGTGTAATTTCATCTGTAGTTTTGAAATCTTAAGCAATTTAAAGGCTTCCAACATTAAACTCTTCTTTGGGTAGCTATTAAGGAAAATTTAATTACTTCCTCATTCAAAGACCTCAAAATCTGCATGAGCAGAATGCAAGTGCATATACCTAGTAAGATCCCCCTTCCCACATTCCAGGGTGGTCTCCTGAGTCAGAGTATAGAATGTGGAGTAAAGCACACTTCTCAGAGGTTTCCAGTGACATCCATGCTGATCGTATTCTATGCATTATCCCACGGACTCAGAGGACCCACTGCAGTGTGCTCCCTAGGTTAGTGACCCGGGCTCTGTTGGAATCACCTCACCTGCACCACAGCAGCACATGCAGGCTCAATCCCAGGACCACCTTCTCCTCACTCCCAGTGGGTAGAATTATATACGTACTGTTCTCCTTATGACTCTTTGCTTTGGCAGCCTCCAACTGCTGCTTCTCATAAACCTCCTTCAGATTCTTACAGATTTTCTTATGCGTAAACCAGTGTGTTTTTTGGCAAGTTTGGTCACAATATATTACCTGTAAGGAATCATAAGTTTATTTTCATTTCAAGAACTTTGGTTGCAGATTTGCCAACTCTGACATTAAGCCAAATGTTATAAAAATGTTAAAATTTTTGTACTTATAAGTCATGCTGTGTGGTTGTGTACTGATTTGGGTTTTTAAGCTTTAGCTTATATTTTAAAATAATAAATATACAATAAAATAGTCTACCAAGGACTCTAACAAATGGCTTAGAACCTCTTATGAGCCAGAATTGGATCAGGCAGGTAACAAGGAAGACACAGCTGTCCCCCAAGAAACAAATGTGGAAAAAGACTAGGATGAGGTAGAACAGAGGAGACAGACATCTAACTCATGGCTTGTTACTGACTCTGCAGTGCTGGGAAATGGACGCAGGGCCTCACGCACCGTAGGCAAGTCCTATAACCCTGAGCCATTCCCTTAGCTCTTTTTATGTTTTATTATAAGGTGGAGTCTAAGTTACACAGGTTGGCTTTGAATTTGCAAGCGTCCTGCCTCAGGGCAACACTCCAGTGGGCTAATAGTATAGCTCAGGACAGAATATAAATTTTAGCACATTGTGGGTAGGATTTTGGAGCAACACTCAAGTGGGAAGAGGCAGTGACACTCAGCTAGAGGACTCAGAACAGGCAGAAAAACGGGCAGAAGCGCTCCAGGTGGAAGCACTGTCTCTGAACAAGATATGGGAGCAGAAAGGTGCATGGCATGGACGAGGAGGGCAATCAACACTTATAATAAATAAATTTATATTTTTGTAAGTGGGAGTGGTAAAGAAATGTGAATAAAACTCCTTAAATACATGCCAAGCTTAGACAATATATATCGCACCATATATGTGTGCATGTGTGTGCATGTGTGTTTATGTGTGTGTATGCGTCTGTGCACATATATAATCACTTGGGCTAGGGACCGTATTACTGGCTCCAAATCTCCACTCATTGATGCATTCACACACTTTCCCATGTGAATTTGGTGTTTTGCACTGAAGAGATCTGACTTTCAGTTTGGCCACCTGACTCGCGACAGCAACAGGATGTGGTGGCATGGTGGTTACAGGGCAAGGCCTCAAGTGCCCTGTGTGCTTCCGCCTGCCGACTTGTCCCTCTACCGCTGTCACAGCTGCCCAACTGCCTGAGCCGAGGCCAGCCAAGCACAAATACAGAAAGAAAGACTGTTGTCTTCAGCACAGCTTTGAGAGTGTTAACACATGCGGCAGTAATAAACCAACATAGACGTTCTTGGTTAGTCCCATGACTCTAGCCCCATTTCCCACAAGAGACTGAGGTCTAGAGAAGTGAGAAATGGAAAGAAAAAATGCAGCAGATGTAAAGGATGGCAGATTGTGAGGGTTTCACTCAACCTGAAGAATTTCAAAATTAAAATCAATAGATTAACGCTACCTGTGGGACAAAGGAATGTACAGATACAGGCATGTGTGCAACATGTGGAGATGGGAAGATGAACACAGTAAGCTATGCCTTTCACAAAATAATTCCAGCAGAGTGGGCAGTGTAATCTCTAACAGAGTTTGATGCCATTCAAAAGTTATAGTCTTAAAAGGCAGAGCTGATGACTAAAGTCAACAACCAAAGAACGGAGTGTGCATCTATCAGTTGTCCTAATCTACATTTTCATATCTGGCCCAGCTGCAGTCCTCTTGGTCTCCACTGTCTCTTGTTTTCGCATGTTCATCCAACATCTCTTCTTCTACTGGAGCAGACACACACTGGGTGTTATAGCTTAGATGTAAAATGCACCCCTTCCAATCCTCATGTGTGGAAGGTGGCTGGGTTTTGGGGCACCATGCTATCAGTGGATTCATGGACTGCTAAGGTAACTGAATGGCCATTAGAAGGCAGGGCCTGGCTGGAGTGCATCACGGGGCAGGGCTTGGATGTGCATTCTTGCCCACAGCTCCTCCCTCTCCTCCCTTCCTCCTGGTCCATGTGATGAACAGCTCTTCTCTGCCCTGTTGTGCCATCCTGCCGTGCATTTCTGCCTTGCAGCTGGCCAGTCATAGACTAAATGCACTGCAACTGACAGTAAAAGTAAGCGTCCCTCCCTTAAGTTGTGCATATCAGGTATTTTGTCCAAGCACAGGAGAGTAACTGGGAATCTGGAAAAGACCCAGAGCTACGCTTACCCTCCTGCTCTCTCAACTGCCTTTCAATGCTTTCACTATTAGAATGTATTTTAAAAATTAATATGACCTTTATGCTCACAGAATCTGAATACCCACTTGTCAGCTTGCATGCAATCGTAAGGAGGTGCCCGTGAAAGGCAAATCCCATTCTTACCATTTTGCACACGGAGCATCTTTTACTCGCTCCCTTTTCTCCACAGGTTGTACAAAATTCCACATCCACAAAGCCCACCTGGCCAGTGATGGCTTGGGTGAGGACAGAGAATGCAGTGGGATCTGAACCCTGGAGTGGGGAAGAAGGGAGGAAAACGCGCTGAAACCACCACGGGAGACTGCAGAGATGGCACTCGATGTGCACAGCAGTGTTCAGGAACAGTAACATGTTCTGTGAATTGACATCATGACAATATTCAGGGAATTATGGGATAATCATATAGCATGGCAGAAATGGTTAACTGCTTCAATTTATAGAAGTCTGGTGCCATTTAGGCATTTTAAAGAGCATATACTTTAAATTATTTATTAGACTTTGGTCTACAATTCAAATGGCTACATTACCACCTTTTATCATTGAGATGTTCCCTTTTAATAAAAACACATTCAAGTTGCATCAAAACATTAAGAAACACCATCAATGTGAAAAATACTATCATATGGCTATTGAGGTTAGAATAAGTTATTAAAGGAGATTTATAAAATTTTTATGACGTATAAGGATAGATACTTAGTTACCTGAGGCCATACTATTTAAACCTATCTGGAATAAGTAAAAATAATTATGGAATATACATTTTTCTTATCTATGCTTAACAGTTGTTTTAGGTTTTTCAAATTGACACTTAAATTCCCCAAATTTTGCCACTTTTCAAACTTTCATTTTCATTTATCTTTCTTCTTTTTCCTAAGCTTGTTTTTATATTATCTTACCAATTATAGACAATAGGGTTTTAGAAAATATCATCTGGGAATAATGTGCTGTGCTAATCAAGAAACTCAAGATAATCAAAGAAAATTCTCGAAAGATTCAAGAACTAAAATTTACTTTGACACTGTCACACTCCTGAATACGTGTAATAATGACAATAATAATTACTCTTCATAGTAAGGTGCTTAGGACTCTCTTAGACCTACGAGGGAGGGACCTTCTCCTAGTGATGAGGAAAATGAGGTGGAACGGAGCCTCGGAGAACAGCGGCGAGTCATTTTGTCAGGAGCGAAAGTCTACAACGATTGTGCTCAGATGCTGATAGGCCGCAAAAAACTTGCTTTAAAAAAAACCCCTCCAATCCAAACCTTCAACCCATACCCTTTAAAATAGAATATATATATTTTTTTCTTTTGTATTTTTTAGGAAAGGATCTACAGGGTCTCACTGTGTAGATCAGACTCACAGTGATCTTCCTGTTTACAGCCTCCCAAGGGCTGGGATTACAGGCCCGTGCTACCACACCCAGTCTCAACGACCACCTCAGGGCACCCTGGGGGCGGGGCCAGCACGGCAGGCCAGGGGATTGAACTCCCAGCCCCTGAGTCTGCCTAAGCAGGCACTGTAATCCGCTGAGCTATTTGGACAGCCCGACTAAAATGGAATATTTAAGGGAGTGGTCTAGACTGCATAGTCACAAACATTCCCAGGCAATTCAAGACATTAAAAGTTTGAGAATTACTAGTAATTAACACGTTAAATGCTTATTAATAAAAATAATGTGCATTATTTTGCCTAAATACTAGTATACCAGATCAGAGTCTGGCCCATCAATTGATAGAATGTGATACACTCAACAGTTATCACAATTATATTCTCATGCTCAAATATTTCTCACAGTACTGCCCAAAACATGGTTAGAATCTTTCCCACTACCAACTGTTTATGGGAGTATGGCACACTGATTTTTTTTTTTTCCAGTGCTAGGGATAGAAGTCAAGGCTTGCTTCTGTGTGCTAACCAAATACTCTACCACTCAGCTACACCCAGCCCAGAAGCTGAAATTAAAGGATACTGTGCTAGGACAGTGTTCATGTGAACTCTTGCTTCAGAAAAAAACTTAGCAGTGGCGCAGATGGCTAACCACACAGAGCCGTTTTCCCTGCTGTGTGAGAACTTTCTTGTCACACAGCAAGGGTGTCCCAGTGCCAGAGTTCCTCTTGTGGAGAGAAACGCAGCCTGCAAACAAACAGGGTGCTTTGTTCAGTGTATGCTATAAAATCAGGAAAAGGAGCTACTCTCTTGAAACTCATAATGCACTCTGGTGACGGACAGAGCAAAACATCTTGGAGGAACAACTCCAGGAGTGCTGCCTCACGAACTGGGTCCTTCCCATGCTCCCTGCCGAGCTTTGCAACCCTCAGAGCCTAGTCCCACACTAGGCAGAGTGGGTGCAGCATCCGCACCTCAGAGAGCAGCAGGGCGGACTCTCACAGCTGCCTGCCCCGAGAATGCTGTTATAGGCAAAGAGCAGTGCACTCCAGAGGCTGAAGAACCTATACGTAGTGTACAAAAACGTCTAAACTGCAAACAGGGGCCAACTGGGTCCCTCAACTGTAAGCACTCAAGATGTTTCCCAGAGCAGAATGTACAACTTTTTTTTTTGGATTTTAGGGAAGGGTATTCAGGGTCTCGCTACTAGATCAGACTCGTAGTGATCCATCTGTTTACAGCCTCCCAAGAGCTGGGATTACAGGCGTGCACCACCACGTCCAGTCTCAAGTGCGGGCTCAGTGTGCCCCAGGGGCTGGCTGGGATTGAACCCCTGATCCCTGCACCTGCTTGCAGATACTTTAATCCACTGAGTTATTCGGCCGGTCCTTGTATAACTCTTAATTAACAGAATTTTTGAAACAGAAGTCTTTCTAAACTGCATAAAATACAATCTTTACTATAAGCCTTTTCTCAATGAGTTGGACCATTAGGATAAACATCGTTCATTAGACTCCATAAACCTTACCACTACTCTGTCTCGGGCTAAGATGAACTGCTCGCGCCTGCTTTAAGTGTTTCTGAGAGCTCTGGGCTGGTCTTCTCAGTTTTTTTGCTTTCTCCCACTAAGGTGCTATGTGAGCTACCACTTGTGAGCACTGGGAACCCCCAAAGCAGTCACTGCTAGCTGCTTCGCTGACATCTGGCCCACTTCCTCACTACAAAAAGTATAATTGCACTCAGAGCAACAGGGACAACATAAGCCCCAAACGCTCATTTCCCCAGATCCTGCCTGTGCAGCTGACGGCGTCCGCTGTCCAGAGACATGCGCCAGAGCTTATGGTTTCCAGACTCCTTTGCTCTTCCTGCCTGCATGGATGGGAATGTGAGCCTACAGGGGTCATCATGTGCCTGCAGCCACAGGGCCCTCAGCAGGAGCACGAAAACCCACATGGCAAATGAATACCGGCTAAAGAGATGGGAAAACGTGTTGGTCCCTAATCCACTCTGAGCTGCTGTGCAGACCTGGTCTGTCTACCTTCGTGTGTCTGGGTGTATGTTCATACACAGGCCCATGTCTACTTACCTGACAGCTACCTGGAGCTTGACATACGCAGCCAAACCACACGTGTAGCTGAGAAATCACATATTTTTCTACCTTCCTACACTGTTCATTAAGTTGAGAGCTACAAAAACGTAAGAGGCTCACGAGAGGGGAAGAGATTAAGAAGAAAAGAGGTTCAGTAGGCAAATCTATCCCCACTTTCTTCCTAAATATTTTCTGAATAAAAAAGCTCAAGAGAACTTTAACAGTACATCAATGGTAGGTTAGGGAGATGGCTCAGTGGTATAAGCACCTGCCTGGCAGGTGCAAGGTCCTGAATTCAAGCCCTGGTACAAAAAAAAAAAAAAAAAAAATCAACAGGAAGTCAGTCTTACTGACAGAATGAACATAATAGGAGCCTTACGATTTCCACAGGAGCAATGCTTTGCACCAGCTGCTGCAGGAGGGTAGCTTCACAGTATGGGAATTTTCTGATGCTTTCTCTAATGATCTTTTCTTGGTATACCGGGAAGCCGTCAGAAGCTCGGCCTTTTAACAAGCTGAAAGATAGTTTTAAAGAGTAACTGAGGTTGACTCACCAAGCATTTCCTCCTAGCTAAACCCAGTAGCTTTTAGTAGTTTCTTCTTAAGATTTTTTTTTCACTGAGTCAGTCTTCAAACGATGATGGACTAAATCCAAAATGCTGCGCAAACCGAACATCAGGGCGGCCTTAGCAGGTTTCCAAGGCCTGCGATATCAGGCAAGGGTGACCCCCACCATGAAAGCCGAATGTGCTGATCAGACTAACCAGTTACCTATTATCATTTGTTATATGCAGGAAGAATGAAAAGTCTGATTGGGTCACACGCTTCTAATTTAGTTCCTTTTTCTCAGTAAGCTGCAAGAAAATTTGATCTCTGCTGGGCACAGGTCAAGGCTAAGGCACGTGGAGAGCTCCACGGCGCCTTCACCTCCTGCCTGGCGTCCGCCCACCTTCCGGCCGTGTGCTCGTACATGCTCTTGCCAACCTCTTCAAACCTTAAGATCCCTCAAGTATAAATCAGTGAGAACAACTAAAAACCACTACTGAGCCCAAAACCGAGTGAACAATTCAATCTAAGTAGAATGTTGTTCCTTGACTACTACAAACTATGCGAACCCAATTATACCGACTGCTGCCAAAATGCTTTATTTGTAAGTCCATAACTAAGTATCACATCACTAAACACCATCCACTTGAGTACACTGGGCACTTGACATGAGAAAAGCGGTACCTTCTGATCAGGGCATCCAGTTTATTCTCTCCGTCTTTTAGGAAGGTGATGCATTTCTGAAAGATGCAGCTGATGTAATGCATTTTCATAGCCAAGATTTCATTCATGTCTCTTTGTTTCATGCATTTCTCGCAAATCAGATCCATCACCTTGTAGCATTTACTCAGGGCCGCTTCTTCTGCCAGCAGAGGATTCTCATTTACAAGCATCACAATCTAAAGGGAAGTCCAGCAACGTACATCTTCCATGAGAGATTTTTACATGTACAAACTGGGTAGCTGCTTTAGTTGACGTCAAGGGCTTACCATATAAGGCCTTCCTTAGGGTCATGTACTTACTATGCTAACAAATTAGAAGATGCTGCCACTGATCACAGACATAAAACTAACACAAAAGAACCCAAGAAATCTCCTGCTATCGAAGTTAAATGTAATCCATCTAAATTGGGTGTTAAGTACGCCATTCAGGGTACAAGGCTTTACTATCTCTGTTAAAAGCATTTTATTAGAGAGACCTGTGGCACAAGTACGCAGCCTTTATATACGTGACCAAATACAGACCAAATTTTTTTCATGTGTTTGGGTACAGGGTCTCACCATGTAACTAGACTGGTAGTGACCTTCCTGTCTCAGCCTTCCCAGTGTGGGATTACAGGCGTGTGCCACCACGCCCAGTCTCTGTGGCCAGCTCTGCGCAGCACGTGGTACTGGAGCTCAAACCCCGCAGACCAACTTTTAATTGACATTACTAAGTTCTCTAGTTTTATGGCTTAGAGAACTATAATTCTCATTAAGTCTTATTAATTATAAGGAAATGAGATTTTTTTTTTTTACAAAAAGTCTAGAAATGAAATGCATTTTAATTTCCAATTAACGACCTTTCTCTGTGGAAATCTTCCTGAAGCTGTGCTGTTACCTAAGGTAATGATGAGAATAGGTCAACAAAGAATGAGGAGGAGAGAGAACTAATAGGCAGTTGCCAAACCTTGCACCCCACGAGCCCCATGGGCCCCATGCATGTACACACTGAGCCTGAATTTAGTGCAGTGAGGAGTATTCTATGTTGGCTTTGTCATAAGTAGATTACTTGAAGCTGGTCTTCATGGGACTGTCATAGAAGTCCCTTGTGCTATGAAAGAATTATAAACATGTTAGCCTGGGCACAACTGCACACACAGAGCCATCAGTTCTCGCTATCCCTACTCCGTGTGCCGTGCCACAGCTAAATGCCTGTCCAGGGACTCAAGCGTCAGGAAACAGTAGAGGACTTCACGAATTACACCCTTCTCATTAGGCATGAAGAGAGACTGCTAGCTGAAATAAAGCCTGTGCCTGGACTCCCATTTCAGTGCTACTGAAATATAGCACTCTCTGTCCATCAAAAATTAGAAGACGATTCTCACTTAGTATTAGATTTATATGTTTCTCCAAATCCAGCACATAATGATTTACTAGACTTGAAGGAAATATAATCAGAATCCTTATTACTAAATTTCTTGATTACTCACTCCCTCTACCAAGCCATATATCAATTATTTCGTGTAAAAAAGACTACTTATTTATAATTTTAATTGAAATAATTTAAAGATGGTCAATATTCTACATATGGTATTTATAATCAGAATATAAGTTCTTCCAAGTGAGAATATTTTTCAAAATCTCAAATATGATTCAGATTAAAGACTTCTGTTTGTAGATACTAGACTTTAATTTATTCTATAATATGAAGCAAACATTTACAGAGGTATGATTAAAAAAAAAAAAAAAGTACAGAATTAGGGCCAGCCAGATAGCTCAGTGGACTAAAGTGCCTGCTTACACAGGGGCAGGGCCCGGGGTTCGATCCCTGGTGTGCCGTGCCAGTCCTGTTTCCGGGGCTCCCTGAGACCGAGACAGAGATTGGGCGTGATGGCGCGTGCCTGTAATCCCAGTGCTTGGGAGGCTGAAAACAGGAGAATCACTATGAGTCTGATCTTTGTAGTGAGACCTTGTAGACCCTGTACTAAGTACGTTAAGAGGGGAAAAAAAAAAAAACCCACAGAATTCCTCTTAGTATACTGAAAAATATACCTGGCTGCACACAAGGCCTATTTGTACTAGTCTTCTTCCTTTCATCTCTACTGAATTATGAAATAATATAAAAAGAAATCTTTATTAAATACCAAAGAGAATAAATACATTCTTTCTGCTGTAAAAAACTATACAAATCTTATTTTTCAAAGAACTGCTACTTAGAAAAAGCACATACAGTAGCATTTTGAATTCCTATTTTTTAAATCATTTTTAAATGGTACTATATTGTTCAAAGACAGGGTCTCACGCATGGTAGGCAAATGCTCTACCACTGAGCTAGTCCCCCATTCCCAAATCTTATTACAGTATTTAAATTGCTAAACCAATAATTCTGAGCTTGAAAATTGTCTTAATAATCCAAGACAAGATTATTCTATGGACACCTGTCTTCCTTCTACTGAGAGGCTCCAATCTGCTATTTCCTCCCCGGCCTGTGATTCTATTTTCCTCCTAGATAACCTTTATTTTCTGGGCATCAACATAATTCCCCAAGTCCCTTTAGAAAACAAACACAATGTTATTGCTACAGCAGCCACCAAGCCTAGACATACACGCAGCTGCGCGGGATGCCAGCTAATAAAAAGGAGAGCTGTGTGTTGGGTCAAATCTTCACACTTATTTTAAAATGTGTTTTACTTTAAACAGCGGCTGTTTGTTACTATTTTAAAATAACATTCCCTGGGAAGAACTGCACCGGCTTGAAAAGGGTAAAGCAGTGAAAATGGGTCACCGCCTAAGCAACCAGGGAGCGTTTGTATCCGGAGGATAAAGTTACAGTACGACCTCTGCAATTCATTGACTGTATATAAAAATATATGTCCTTAATTTAATTTACTTCAAATATATGCCTTAACTAAGGATGGAATAATTCCTAGGCTATTGGACCCTGAGAGATAGGGTCTCATTGAACCGTCAAACGTTATTCCAGAGACCAACTGCAATCTGAAGGTAGAACAAGGTAGAAACAGAAAAATACAAAGCACCGTCTCAAACCAATCTAAAGTACGATATCCTAGAATGCTCAGGCCAAAGGGGAACACAGGTCTTCCAGCCCACACATTCTCTCTTTTTTTTCCCCCACACATTCCCTACACTATGAAAAACCTGTCTCCTATCTCTCTGCCTAGAATGGCCCAAGCCCAGATGTCCCAGACCCCCGATACTCCTGGGAGGGACGGAACTGAGTACTTTTTAAAGGTAAATTCTAAGTTCTTACTTGATTCAGAATGTTTTCCTGCATCTCTTTGCTGCTGTTTAGAACATGACTGGCGCAAAGAAAAAACAGCAGGGGAGACAGTTCAGGAGGCCCCTGCAGCGGCCCTTGAGCATTCTGAATGGATGCATTGGTCTGAAAGTTCCACAATCTGGTCTAACTGCTGGGAGAACTGAGTCACCTAATGGCATCAAAGCCACTTGTGTTAGAAGTGTCTGTCTGACCACAGGTCCGACTATTTCCCAGATGGCCCGTTCTGGCAGCAGGCGTGGGGGGCCTACCCACATCTGCCACACGAGGCTCTCACTCCAGGTTCGCACACTTGCCGGGTGCTGTCTGCCACGGGCTCCAGGTGGCATCTCTTTCCTGAGAGGCCCTGAGTCCAAAGAGGCCACCTCACTTCACACCACCCGAGAGCATGTCCTTGCCCAAGAGACCCTGGCCAACAGCAGACAGATGGATAGGGAAGCCTCTCTCCCCTCTGCAGCCAGGCCTGTCCCAGCGCTGCCTGTCGGGTGAGGGCAGGTTGGGCTGGGCCCCTTCTCATAGTCCGCTGTTGCCTTCACTGTCTCCCACTTTTGTGCTGGGAACACCCCTTCCATGTCCTCCTCCATGAACGAGAGAGCTCTCTACAAACTCTGAGTCTACAAACACAATCTGAGGGCTAGGGAAATAGCTCAGTGGCACAGGTGCCTGCCTGGCAAGCACAAGGTCCTGAGTTTGATCCCTGCTACCAAATAAAACAAGTCAACCCAATCTGAGGCAGCGATGACATGGAGCATAAGAGCTCAAACCCCACTACTGAAATGAGGGGCAAGGATAACAGATGCCACACTACCTTGACGGGGTGAAGATTGGTTGTGGTGATGATTTTGTGCAGGGGGCCAGCCAACTTTGGGGGCAGCTTGGGGTCTTTGTCCAGCCCCTGGGGCTTTGTGTAATAATCCAGTCTCTCTCTTGGGAAGAAATTGTTGATTATTGTCACACAATCATGTTGCCCTTTCAAAAGAAAAATTGGGTAGTTTTATTGTTAGCAACAAGATACTATTGCTTTTAATATGTTCTGTTTTCATGCAAATTCAACATGCAAATACTGTCTTTATTCTTCAGGAAAGGAGAATAGAGGATAAAGAAGAGAGTTAAAACTCCAGTGATAACTATTTTAAACTAAAGGAATCATCTCATAATGACACACCACACTCTAGCCAGGCCAGGCGCAGGCCAGCACGTGGGGGGCTCAGGCAGGAGGACTGCAAGTTCACAGCCAGGCTGAGCACCCGAGCGACAGGAGGAAAGGCTGTCACAAAGGAAGAAATTTAACAGTGCTGGGAATGTAGCACAAAGAAAAGGCCCTGGGTTTGATCTTTAGTACCACACAGACACACACACACAGAACACACACAGCACACACACACACACACACACACACACACACACACACACGCAAGCACACACACACCGCAGAATACAAAAACAGAAGAAATACCTATGAAGAATATATAGATTTTTAAAGAGCCTTGTTCAAGTTCTAACTGATCTCAAAGAACTGATTATAATTTGTTTCTTCACTCCCCCATAAAAATGATAATCATGCTTCCTTAAATCATATCCAGTATGTACTTTTACATAATTTAAATAAACGATAAAGAAAAAAATTTAAAAATGCATGCTATATTAAGTAGCATTACCATAATTACTATTAATATTTTTAGTATCGTATCCTTTCCCCTGAACCTGAGAAGCACATTGCAGAAAGGGCTCCTGGTCTCATGGCTTGGAGTCTGCATGATGGCTTCGCACCCTCACAAGAAGGATCCACCAGCAGGCCCTGCCTGGCACAGTGGCGGCCTGGTAGCCTGGCAGAGGGCCCTGATGCCTCCCCTCCCAGGCTTGCCCTGCACCCCCTTTCTGCAGCCAGGCAGCAGCCACCCTGGCAGGCAGGCAGGAACTGCAGGGCACATGCATGGGCTGATAGCCTTCCAGAGAGGACTTCCTCTCTGCCTGCCTAGGGCCAAGGGACAGGCAATGCCTGGAGACAACACCGTGGCTCTCTCTCCCTGAGACCCATCACCCTGGGCAGCCCACCAGACCCAGCCCACATGCACACAATGCAGGGAATGCCCACTTGATCCTGGGGACAACAGGTGACCTACAAGGCATCACACAATGGCGAGCTGCACCCAATCCCCTGGGGCTGGCAGAGGGCTCTGCTTGGCCCATGGAAATCCTGGGAGCACAGGCAAGGTGCAGTTCCTCCCTGTGACTTGGCTGGTGGCTGTCCCTGACTCCACCAGCCTGGGCTTTGGCTGGCTGCCTAGGAGACAGAGCACCCTGGGGATCCTGCGCCTCCAAAACAGTGCAAACTCCAACAATGACTACAGCAAAAACAGCAGCAGCAGCAGCAGCAGCAGCGGCAGCAGGAGCCCATCAAGAGCCAAACAGAAAGAGCTAGATGTGGTGGCTCAGGCCTATACCCCTGCACTCGGGAGGCAGAGCCAGGAAAGTCATGAGGTTAAGGCCAGCCTGGACTTCATACCTAGACTCCAAAGGCCCTAAATTCAACCCCACTACCAGAGATGGGTTAAAAAAAAAAAAGTAAAAACTAATAGCAATTTTCTTCTGAGAACTAAATTAGGTAATTATAGATCAAATGGACAATCTCAAAGTAGAGGATAATTGAGAGCGAAAAATGATACTAGAGATAAACGGAAGGTATCCAGAAAATTTAACTTCTAGACAGAATACAAGGCACGGATGGAGAAATAAACAAATAGAAAAACTATCTCTGATTTGAAGAGAGAATTTAGGAGTAATTATAGTAGTATTTCAGGTATTCTATGCTACTGTCAATTAAGTACCACAACACCAGATTTTTTTCTTTTTGGGGAGCACAGTGGCTTGGCCCTTTCTCCTCCCCATAAAAGTTCCATTTGACCTCTTGACGAATCACAGAGTAGCAATCTATATTAGAAATCTGAAATAAACCAAGGTGAGCTCTGTTTAGTAAATGATCATGATGGCACTGAACAAATCTAACGCAAGGGGGTTATGAACATGACAACATCCTAGTCACAGGGGTATCTGTATGTATATTTAGAACTATTCATGAATTAATTCCCTTAGTCCATTTGTAAATTTATCTGAATGGGCAATGAAGAGGCGGAGTCCCGCGGAGCTAGTAGGCCCAGGAGGCGGGGCTTTGGACAGTGTTTCTGTTCCTGGCTTCTCTTCCTCCTGTTGGCTTCTCCTCCTCCCGCTGGCTCCCTCTCCTCCCTCTGGCTCCTCCTCCTTCTCCCACTGGCTTCTCCTCCTCCCTCTGGCTCCTCCTCTTTCTGCTCGCTAGCCGCCACAGACTAAACCCTCTGAAATAGTAAGCCAAAATAAGCCCTTTCTCCTCGAAGTTGATGTGTGGGAGGAATTTATCACAGTGATGAAAAGTTGAAAAACACAGCAGCCTACTCATTTGAGAACGTCTCATAACCAAAACCTAAATGAGGTCAGAGGTCCCAAACGTGATGGAAGAAAGGACAGTGGAGGGTCACAGGATGACCAAGAAATCTTACTGTTCACAGGATTGTCAGAAGCAAAGCAACATGCTGTCAATGACATTCTAGTAACAATAGCACTAAAAATACAAAGTTCACAGGTACAAATATGACAAGCTCTGAGGAAGTGGAAGAAGCAGGAAAAAAAAAAAAAAATTGTAGCCTGAGAAGGCAAAAACAGAGGATGTAGAGAAATGAGTTACGAGGGTTTCAGCGTTTCCTACATTGCCGAATGTCTCAGACAGTGCCTTGGAAGTGTGGCCGAGGGACAGAGCTGACCAAGCAAATCAAATTAAGGAGGCACACATACGAATATGCAGATTATGGGAGTAAAAATTTAAAAAGGCAACCGAGTATATAAGTAATTATTTTAAATAGATATAGATAACCTAAATACCTGGTAAAAGAGACTATCATTTGGTTTATAAGACAAAATTCACTTATATGTTTATGAATTATACTACTACTAAAATGATGATTAAAAAAGAGGACACGAATTATTTTTGCATTTATGACATACAAAAGACATTACTTTTTTTTTTTTTTTTGTGCGGAACTGGGGATTGAACTCAGGCCCTTGCTCTTGCCAAAGAGGTGCTTATTCTACCGAGCCATTTCCCTGGCCTTGACATTATATTTTTATAATGACAAAAATCTTATATGCATGTGTATACGCTATCCATACACTTATTTACTTGATGGAAACATAGAACGGAAGAATGACTCTTTTAAAAGGCTACGTATACAATTTCCCATCTTTGAAATGAGCCTAAAGTATACTGAAAACACTGCTTTTATTTTAGAATGAGACACTTTAGAATATGAATGTTTTCTGCCCTCAATTTCCGTTTTGTTGTACAAAGAATAGAAAAGAAGAATGGTGCAGCACCTTAATTGAAAGAGCAAGCCCTCTCACTTCCAGGACCGTGACGGTGGGCAAGCTGACCCTTACCTGAGATCTTATTATTTTTTTTTAATCATAGACATAATAGAAAATTGTGAAGCTAGCTCAGCCTCTGGAGCTCACCTAATTCCCCTGCTTCACTGCACAGATAGTAAAAACTCAAGGCTTACGGAAGTGATGGAATTCTCTCACAATCCTAATTAGGAAGAAACACGAACTGAAATGCCAATCTCTGAATTCCTAGCTTGGTGTTCTTTCCTGCTGCACAGGTGCCCTCAGAGTAGCTCAGAGGTTGCTTGGGGGTAAGGTGAGGTCCCGAGCTGGGAGACAAAATATTTATCTTAACTACAGCAAGGTCATACCTTCCTCAAATCCCCCTGTAGTGAAAATACAGTAAGAATGGCCGGCCAAAGAGCTCAGTGGATTAAAGCATCTACTTAGGCAGACGCAGGAGCCGGGGTTCCATTCCAGGCCTGTTGTGCTGGCCCCACCCCCAGGGCACACTGAGATGGTGATTAAGACTGGGTGTGCTGATGTGCGCCCCCATAATCTCAGCTCATGGGAGGCTGAACACGGGCAGATCGCTACATATTGAGACCCTATAGACCCTGTCCTAAATACAAATAACAATAATAAAATAAAATACATTAAGAATATCTGTATTCACAGAGCTGTCCTAAGGTAACTTACTATCAGGCTTCATCAATGGTTGCTACCATCAATTTCAAGAAAATTGAATAACAAAATTTCAAATTTCAAATGATGTACAGCCACCAGTGTCTATTTTTCTTACTATTTCCCACTATAGACATTCTAATTTCTCTCAAAAAACAGCTGGAACCAGAGAGAAGATTCCTCCTGCCCCATGTACTTCTATGGAACTCAAATTTTCTCTCATACTTGGCTACCACTTGGTGCTGTTTGCCTGTAAATACCATGAAAGCTTGAAGAAGGAACATGCTCCTCAGCACTGCGACCAAATGACCCAGAGTGATACTTGGTACATAGATTTTGAACATTAAGGAACTCTTAATTAAATTATTGGTCCCTGCAAGGCCATTTACTACACTTCCAATAAATTAGATGTTCCTTTTTTTTTTTATTTATTTATGTATTTAGTACAGGGTCCTCAGGGTCTTACTACACATATTGGACTCTACTGATCCCCCATGTTCAGCCTCCCAAGCGCTGGGATTATAGGCATATACCATCATGCCCAGTCTCAGTCACCATCTCACCCCATCTCGGGGGTGGGGCCAGACTAGCTTTACCTTTTCTTTCCTGGTTTTTTGAGACATGGGTTTGCTACATAGTTCAGGCTGGCCTTGAACTAGGTAGTCCAGGCTCGGCTCAAACTGATAACAATCCTCCTTCCTCAGTCTCCCAAGTGCTGGGATTACAGGCAAGCACCACCACTCCTCGTGGTCTATCCTTGCTTTTCCAACACCTGATTCTCTTAACTGCCAGTTTGGTGGGTTCAAATTACCAGCGATCAGAGGTTCACTCTCACTTTCGCCTACATACCTCCGCATTATGCCAATAGCATTCAGATGCCAAGAAGTAACAGGCACATAAAGTAAATGCTTGTGGTTGATACGTATGATAACGAAGCAGCTGAATATGATCGTCAAACTCTCCTTCTACAAAAGAATTGGATCACTGCTGCCAATTATCATTAACAACAGTAACTATTTGTTTAGTGCTATATATAATGTCCTTTAAGTCGATCATCTCTTTTAATCCTTGAAATAATCCTGTAATCATTTTACAGTGCAGAAACTGGAAGTGAGAATCACGAAGCACCTTGCTATTAAGGAACACAGCTAGAATTTCCAGGTCCGACTGCTGACTCCCCGCTTCATGTTCTTGCACATTAGGTCACTCTCCTTCCATCAGAGAGAAAATACTCTTCAAAGCACACAACTGCAATCCCAATTACCCTTCCCATCTTTCACTCTCACAAAGAGGAAATTCACTACAGTTGAATCCACTATAGAAATCCATTTCTTCTAAAGTGGCACTAGGTATTTTACTCCATTATGCAGAGTGGATTGTACCTACTTATTAAAAAAACAAAACACTCTACTGTACAGCTACGGCAAAAGCTCACCCACAAAGGCTGCCATCTGAGCTGCTGTTCTTCCTACGGAGTTGACCACGTCTGTCTCTGCTCCGGCTTCCAACATTGCCCACGTGATGTCTTTATTTCCTAGAGTTAAGAGAACAGAACGGCCAGCATTAATGAATGCACGATGCAAGCACCTCCTTCAAATTACCGGCACCCCACCATTTACTTTTAGGTCTATCGTATGAGTATTTTCATTTTCTCCAAATGATGAATCGTAACCACACTAGAAAGAAAACTACAACAGAACCTACTATACTTCAAACCCCTGTTTTTCAGCCAAACACAGCGCCAGATGCCTGTAACCCAGCACTCTGGGAGGCTGGCACAGAAGGATCACAACTTTGCTTCTAGCCTGAACAGCTTAGCAAGATCCTGCCTCAAAGAGGAGGGGTGCAGTGTAGCGCAAAGGTACATCCCTGGGTTCAATCTGCACGTCCATCACCAAACTTATTTCTGGAAAACAAATCAGGCACTATGAAAATGATATAGAATTGAATGTCACTTGTTCAAAGTTAACTATTTTCTTAATGACAATACTTATAAAATCAAAATATACAAAAATAGCAAAGAAATAAAAATCTCAATAAAGTTTTCTTTTAACATCCATTAACATTTCATCCTTCACCCCTGAAAGCTGTGGAATAACTATTATTTATTAGGGACCTATCTCTCTCTCTCTTTTTTCTTGGTGGAAGCGGGGATTGAACTCAGGCCCTTATGCTTATTCCACTGAGCCATCTCCCCAGCACCATATTGGGGACCTATCTTTCTGCATTTCTTTCTATGTCAACATCCAGTTTATTCTACTCACATTCCATCACCGATTAAATCACTACAGACATTTTGCTATTACAAACTACATTTAGTGAACTACAAACACCATCCACTTGGTTTTGCAAGTTTGAAGTACAGTATTCTGGCAACAGTTTATACACCACATAGCTGGGTCGAAGGTCATATTTTAAATGCACTGTGCCTAGCAAGGTTGAATTGGAAATCTCTTCCCCAAAGCAGTGCACAAAAATCCCTCTCACTTTCTTAGCCTCTGCCAATACAATCCATGGAAAATGATAATTATACTAATTTAAATTTCTTTGATGATTGCTGAAAATGGTTCATATGTGGATTAGCCAGTTATATTGTTTTTTGTCTTCTGAGCAATTTTCTATTATAGTACTTATCATCCACCATTGTATAGGACTGCTTTATCTATAGCACTATGACCCTATAAAACATATAAGAAATATTTTCCTTCACTTTTCATTTACAGTTCAATTCTATTTGTGGTATATCCCATATATGACAAGATTAAAACTGTAGGTAGATTGGTCAGTGTTGTCATTTTGGATTCCATATTTTATATACACTGTTCAGAAACGCCTTTGTATTTCAGGTTTAGAAAAATATGTTATTCTTTTAAAAAATGATAACTATATTATAGGTATTTTTCAAAGAACTACAATAATCACATGTAACCCTATAAAGTCTTAGTATTTCTCAAATAATGAAGATGAGTCTAAATGTATGATCGTATTAAGGACATAAATTTCTGTGAGGTAAACAGCTCCAGCACAGTCGCTGCCTGATTAAGAGGACAATCTAGTGTTCAGATTATCTCAAAATCTAAAGGAAAAAAAAAAAAATCACAGGAACTACTTGAAAGAATAACAGATGCAGTTGCTCCATTTTATCAAAACATATTGTCAACATGAAGAGGTAACTGACCTAAGTCACTAAAGAAACATACCACCACACATCAACTATAAAATTATTTCACACACTGGACCTTTTAAAAAACCACTTTTCAGCCAGGCGTGGTGATGCAGGCCCATGGTACTAGCACGTAGGAGGCTGAGACAGGAGGATCACCATGAGCTCAAGACCACCTGGGCTACACAGTGAGTTCAAGTCCAGCCTGGGATACAAGGGAGATCTTGTCTCAATAAAAAAAAAAAAAAAAATCCCACTAATTCTCACCATTTTCATAAAACTTTAAATTACTAAAATGAAAAATTGCATTACTTTAAAAAATAGATGTACTTAAGTTTGTACAGGTAACTAATATTAGCAGATTCAGGCTAAAACTTTACCAGAGAGCGCCGCAAACATGAGGGCTGTGTATCCGTGCTCGTGCTGGTGACAGTTCACGTCGGCTCCGTGTCGTAGAAGCAGCCTGCACATGTCAAGTTTTCCTTTGTATGCTGCGTGCATTAGAGGAGTCATTCCATTCTAATGGAAAGAAAAGAGAGACTGTTGATTTTACCCACTTACCTTTCCTTACCCACAAACATAAACACAAGCTAAGAAATTACACAACCTGTATTTATATAGTCACTCCCCCACATCTTTCATAAATAAACTTATGAGGAAAAGAGATGGTTTTATTACCTGACGGTTTTGTTTTGATTTTTTTTTTAACCAACTGCAGTAAAAAGATTACACAGTACACACACAGATTACATAAGAGAGGATGGGTTCAATCTCAAGGACTAGTAAATTATTGGGGTCAGGTCAACCCAGACTTTCCAAGATTTTCAAGAAAACCTTGAAATAGGGACCGGGGAGATGGCTCAGTAGAATAAGCGCTTCCCTGGCAAACGCAAGGGCCTGAGTTCAATCCCCAGTTCCACAAAAAAAAAAAAAAAGAAAGAAAGAAAGAAAGAAAGAAAGAAAGAAAAGAAAAGAAAACCTTGAAATAAACAATACCTATCAAGGGGAAAGTTGAAAAAAATACAGTATATCCCTACTAAGGGACATTATAAAGTTTAAATAAATGAATTCATTCGAAGCAGAAAATTTTCTAGGAATCACTGCCAATGAAAAAAATAAGATGCAAGAATGTTTATTACAGTGGCATCTTTTTAAAAAAAATCTTCAAAATCACATTTTCATAACAGTATATTACAATCTGATCATGTATTATTGCACAACTGCAGAGGAACAGTTGCTAACACACAAGGTAGGCTGTCTTGTTTGTTCTCCACACATTTGCGCACAACAAGGAAACACCCAACCTGATACGTGCTGGGCATCCAAGTACCTGGCAGATCAGTGAATGCAATGTTTCCCTGGGTGAATGTTCTTAGTGATCCTGGCTGAACTTTAAGTTGTTCATGATGAAAATCCTCCCTAAAACATATAAGCCCTTCCTTTTGTACATCTCAGAATGCTAGCAGAATGTGAATTATTCTCAATGATACCCAGCTATCATTAGTAACATTAAGCCATCATCTTGTTAGGGCAATGCCACACTATTCTTACAAGGCTGCTGAAACGAGAACTGTGGGGAGGTTAGGATCTTTCAGGTGGAGGAAAAGTGCTATTGTGTTTTGGGAGGAAGAATGGGAAAACAGAATATTAAAATCAAGCCTGGGCTGGCCAAATAGCTCAGTGGATTAAAGAACCTGCAAGCAGGCACAGGGACCGGGTTCGATCCCAGGGCCTGCCAGTGCCGGCCCCGCCCCTGGGGCATGCTGAGACTGCAATTGAGACTGGGTGTGGTGGTGCGCACCTATAACTCCAGCTCTTGGGAGGCTGTAAACAGGAGGATCACTACAAGTGTGATCTAGTAGTGAGACCCTAAACACCCTGTAGACCCTTCCCTAAAATAAAAAAAAAAAAACCTTAATGTTAATAGAATAATAAAATAGAATATTAAAAGATAACCTTAAAACTCTTGGCTGGGCATTTCTAGGGGAATGGGATATTTATTATGTCCAAAGTGAGTGGTTTGGGGGGGGTAATCAGAATCCCACTGTACACAGGAAGTGGCCACCAGAGTGCTCTACAGAGAAGGAACGGACTGTTCCATCACTGGCCTTTGGGTGAGGCAAAAGCACATTGAGGATACAGGGTGACATCTTGCTGGATGATGTAACCTGTATGTAAGAGCACAGTGAACAGAACAATAGAACTGGGGCAGGGCCAGAACTATAGGAAAAGCCACTTTTAGAAAGAGGCAACCAGATAATTCTTTTACAAATGTCTAGCACCTGACCTGAGTCAAGGAGCAGTTGTTGCTCAGGCTGCCCTAAGTGGGCAGCCAGCCAACCACCTAGCAACCTCACCCTGCAGCTGCAGGTCAACCAGGCCTCAGAATGAATATGTGGGAAACACACAACTATTCTGCTGCTGTCAAAAAAACAAAGACATCAAAAAGGCCCTCACTATGACGTGACGATCTGCTTAGGAGCGAAGGAGATGTGGGACACTTTGGGATCTTACACTGCAAGCTGCACTTGATTCCTTGTCTGCTTGGATTCCGCTGCTCCTTTACCTACATGCTGTCATTTCTTTGCTCCTACCCCTTTAAGCTCTTTTTAAAAATTTATCTCTACTCTCTCATCTTTTCTCTTGTCCTCTCTCGTTTAGCAGCTACCACCTTTGCAGGGATTGCATTTTACAGTTAACCAATGAGAGCACCTCTTTCCAAAAATATGAAGTGTTATCTCAGTGACATCGCTTGCCTTGCAGTCTCAGAACCTGCTGGTCCTCATTTTTCTTGTAGCAATTTCAGTGCTGTGCTGGACATTCCTGGATATCAGAAACCCATCTTTTGGTAAGCAACAAGTGTAGACAGGCAGTTCAAGGAACTGGCTGTCACACATACTTTTTTGTTTTCAATGTTGATGAACCCTGTGCAATTTAATGTGAAAGTTAAAACTTACAAACCACAGAAAGTTTAGATATAGAACTAACCAATTTTAAAAAGACTAAATGATCATTAGTGTACATTCTCCATCTTTAACTGGACATCTGGTTATACAAAGGTACTATTAACACACAATTCTAATTCTTTACAAACCTACTGTTAAGGAGTAAGAGTACAATGCATCCTTTGAGAAATCACATCAAGCCTACAAGAAATTAGAGAAGATTTAATGAATCTCTTTAAAATGAAACTCTTTAATAAAATTGAAAAGGAAGCAATTCACCTTATTTCTGGAGGCAAGTATTACACTCATACCAAAACCAGAGAAAGACCCAACCAAGAAAAGGAGTTATAGGCCAATCTCCCTAATGAACATTGATGCAAAAATCCTTAATAAGATATTAGCAAATAGAATGTACCAAGTCATTAAAAGGATCATACACCATGACCAAGTGGTATTCATCCCAGGGATACAAGGATAGTTCAATATATGCAAATAAATAATAAAATAGAACTACACCATATCAACGGAGCTGAAGATAAAAATCATATCATTTTAATAGATGAAGAAAAAGCTTTTGACTTTAGCGCATGGTGTTGACTAAATTATAACACTCATTCATGATAAAAACTCCATAGAACATCGGAATAGATGGTCTTTACTTCAATTTGGTAAAAGCCATCTATGAGAAACAGACAGCCAATATCATATTAAATGGACAAAAACTGAAAGCTTTCACTCAACAATCCTCTTTGATATAGTTCTATGGAAACATTAGCCAGAGCATTTAGATAAGAGAGAAATAAAAGGAATAAGGATAGAAAAGGAAGAAGTCAAATCACCATTATTTGAACATGACATGATACTCTACATAGAAGACCCCAAAAACTTTACCAAAATAATTGTAGATTTAATAACCAAATTCAGTGTGTAGCAGGATACAAAGTCAACACTCAGAAATCAATAATATTCCTGTACACAAACAACAAACTCATGGAGAGAGAAATTAGGGAAACAACACTCTTCACAATAGAATCCAAAAAAATGAAATGCTTAGGAATCAATTTAACAAAGGACATAAAGGATACATATACTGAAAATTATAGCACTCTGAAAAAAGAGATTGAAGAAGGTTTCAGAAAATGGAAAAAAACCTAGTTGTTCATAGGAAGAACCAACATTGTCAAAATGGCCATATTTCAAAACTTGTTATGAAGATTTAATGTAATCCTGATTAAAATGCCACAGATCTCAAGAAAAATTTCTAAAATTCATCAGAAATGAGAAGAGACCTAGAATAGCAAAGGCAATCCTGGGTAACAAAGGAAAGGTGGGAAGCATTATAATCCCTGACTTGAAATTATACTACAAAGCTATTGTGATAAAATCAGCATGGTACTGGAAAAACCAGACCTGAGGATTAATGGAACAGATTAGAAGATGCACATACGACTACAAACACACTCAACCACCTTATCTCTGACAAAGGGGCCAAACATGTTCACTGGAAAGAAGATAGTCTCTTTAATAAATGGTGCTAAACTGGCTTTCCATATGCTGAAGACTAAAACTAAACCCATATCTATTACCATGCACTAAAGTCAAAACGGATCACAGATCTAAATATTAAAACAGAAACACTAAATCTACTGGAAGAGAAAGTAGGTACAAATCTTGAAGACACAGGAGTAGGCAGAGAGTTCATGAACAAAAACAAAATTGCATAAGAAATACTTCAAGGAATCATCAACTGGGATTTTATCTCTAAAAGTTTTGTACATCAAAAGAATCACCAACAGAGTGAAAAGAAAATCCACGAATTGGAAAAAAGCTTTTACCCAACCATCCCTCTGACAAAGGTTTTCTAACTAGAACGTGTGAAGAGTTAAAAAAAATCAGACCCTCAAAATTCAAAGACTCAATCCAAAAATGGGCATCTCATATGAATACACATTTCTCAATGAAGAAATACAAATGGCAAATAAATAAATGAAACATGTTCAACATCACTGGCCATCTGAAAAATGCAAATTAAGACAACAATGAGATTCCATCTCACCCAGAAAGAATGGCTATTATCAAGAAATCAATCAACAACAAATGCTAGCAGGGATGTAGGAGAAAGGTGACACTTCTGCACTGTTGGTGGGTGTTTACAATTACTATGGAAATCAGTGTAGAAATTCCTCAAAAAACTAAGATTATAGGTCCCATCTGACCCAGCTACTCCCCTTCTGGGTATATTCCCAGAAGAACTAAAAACATCATACCACAGCTATATATATATATATATATGTGTGTGTATTTAAAGCAGTATAATTTTTCATAGCTAAATCTTAGAAACTCAAATGCCCATCAACTGAGGAATGGATTAAAAAGATGTGCTATTTTTATACAATGGAGTATTACTCAGCTATAAAGAAAGATAAACTAGAGGCTTTTACAGGTACATGTATGCAACTAGAGACCCTACTCATAAGTGAAACAAATCAGACTTTCATGTGTAAATATCCTAGTGTAAGAAACTAAAACAGTAAATATGGTCCAAAAGGTACAATAATCATGGTGAAAGGTAAA